TTTTTTTTTTTTTTGTTTTGATTTGCCTGCATTGTTCTATTTCGGTATTGCAAATTAACCGTTCTATTTTTTTAAGCTTACGGAGGTTCGCTCCGTTCTGGTTTAACAAATAAAACTAAAGTCGGCTGCTATTTGGCTACTACATCTCACGAGAGGAAACGATTGGGACCTCTTGTAAGTTTAGGCGAATCCTCATGCTTGTTGTCATCGATCTGTACGTCATATTTAAGCAAAAAAATTAGGTTTCTAAATTTTATTTTTTTTTATTTCTACCGTTTGCGGACTTATACACTTTGTTGTTTTAATATAGGACACGAATGTTCCTTTAAAACAAAATTTGACTGAAAAACGTCAAAAAACCATGGGAAGCGTTTCTTCAAAAGAGAAATTGGAACGGCGAAAGGCTAACAGGTTTGTGTTCTCGCGACACGGTGATCTTACTGCTGCTAAAGAGGAGGATATTACTCAAAAGGCGTATAGTGCTATGGAGGAACAGTATACCTGCACGAAAGAACAGTTAGAGGCTACAGAAATGGAACTTAATGAGTTACGTTATACACTACAAAACTTTGTGAAGAGAAATGAAGAATTGCAAACGAATATAGAAGTAAGCAGCAGTTTATAAGAGAAACCCCGTCACTTTTTTTTTTTAGTGGCCTCTTTTTTACCAACTTTTGACTGTTTATTCAAGATGGTTTTTTTTTTAAAAAAGAATGTACATTATACTTTTTTTCACATTTCAAGTAGAAAAGTGAACATTTAGGACTATCGACGAATCATCAACAGTTTTAAAACTTCGTCGGAGGGCTATTGCAGCGAAGGTGCAAAAACTAATAATGATCTTCTGAAATCTGTTATCGCGGAGGAGAATAAAGAAAATGTAGCAGAAGGCGATAAAAAGACGGTCCTTTACTCTTGTCCTTTATCGGGGTTTGCAGTCAGTAAATTTTTTTACTGTAGTTCTTCAAAAATATATTGGCGTTTAGATGCTGTGGTTTGAAACAAGTGTAGTATTTTATCTTAATGTTAAAAATGCTGATTTAGTTGTCTCGACTGGAAGAAGAGAACAATAAGCTTACTATAGACAATCGTAGTCTAAAGGAGAAACTGATTAAATTGGAGGAGGAAGCTTTAAATGCGTGGCGCAATAATGAGGAGTTGAATGCAGCTATTGAGGTGTTCTCAAATAGTTATTTTAATGAACTGTAGTTACAATGCTAAGTTTTCATGTAATTTCTAATCTTAAACGAATTTTTCAAGGTGATTGTTGTATTCCTGCAGTAAATTATTCTCACCAGTGTCTTTTTTAGGATGTAATTTAGGATTTTGCTTTAGGCTGAAAGGCTGGAATGGGAATCTTTGAAAGCGGATCTTCTAATAGCAGTGAAAGTTGCAAACGACTTTAAAGTTGAAGCTCAGCTGGAAAAGCAAGCTTTGCTGGCCAAAATAACGAAACTTCAAAACCGTAGGTCGAGTTTGGCTTCATTAACAAGTTTACAGAATAACGAGCATTCTGCACCTGTGACTGAATTTTCGCAGCCTTACACGTGGGAAAAAGCTGCTTGGACGAAATTGTCTGAAAGCCGTGCATCTGGTAAATTTTTTTGAGGATTCGTTGTAAGTGAACTCTGATTTGTATAATTCTTTTCACTGTTTGCCTCATTCAGTAGCTGTTCAATTTTTTGGGCTGCTATTAATAGAAATTAATTAAGGGGGAGCTCCAACCAGGTTCAGTGCGCTTTTGCAGTGGTGTCGTTCTACTTTAAAAGATCATAACGATCTTGATGTGACTAACTTTAGCAGCAGTTGGACTGACGGCAGAGCGTTTTGTTACTTGTTTGCAGCTTTTTTCCCAGATAAATTTGATCTGAAGGCAAGTTTCGCGTTGTATTTTGTTTGGCTCTCATTTTTTTACTGACACACAAACTTGACCGGTAATGAGAAAAGGCAAATTTTTGGAGTAATCTTTCTTGATAAAGCGAGGTTTTTCTTTTTTTAGAAGATCGCTTTAATGAATTCTGCAGAGCGTTTGAAACTAGCATTCGATTTTGGTCGAACTACTGGTATTCAGAAGGAGGTTTCTGTAAGTGATATCTTGGACTGCGAGAGGCCTCCATGGACTACTGTGATGCCTTATGTGCTCAACATTTACCATGTTGTTTGCTGTTCGTGATTAATGCTCTTTGAAATTCTTGGCACATTAAGTAACTGCTACTTGATGGATCTCAGTCGCTAATTTGATAGATTCGTTCTAAGTTCGACGAAGTTTAGTGCAAAGGAAAGGAAACTTTTTTGAAATTTTAAAACGTTAAGTAAAACTGAAGCCTTTTCCAGTTAAGTTATAGTTCAAAAATCTATGTATAGTAGACTTTGTAATTTTTGAAGACTGTAAAACGCATTGTTACAAAAATTAGGTGCCTTCAGCTGTACGCTTCGGTTATACTTATTCGGTATTTGTTCAATTATTCTGTTTTTTTTTCATGTAGTTGATTTATCTTTAACTTCCAAAGCTCGTTTCTTGTTCTGTTCAACTGGTTCTATAGGAGGTTTCAAATCCCTTATGTAGTTACCGCTTGTTACTGATATAGGTGTTACGAATGTTATTGTATTGAATCTTTTTACTGCGGTTTTGGAAATTTATCGACATTTTTATGCTTTTCTGCTGGCATCGATAACTAAGGATTTTCGAGGTGTTAAAGGGAATTGTTTTTTTACCTGCAGGTGTGTCGTAAATTTCTTTATAATATTTTAAGCGTGTACGTAGTGTGCGTATTTGTGACAAATGGTGGACGGTGTTTAATGTCGTTCTTTGATTATTGTCTTAAAATTGTATAAATTAGTCTTGGGTCGGTTGGTTTATACAGCGGAAATATTATTACAGCAACTAGTGGCAGACATTGCATATTGGAAAGAGTAGTTTCGAAGTAAAATGTAAGTGATTAAAGGATTTAAAGTGTTGAGCGTTACTTGGCGCTTGTAAGTGATTGGCGGTCTTCGGCTGGTGAGAACAAGTGGTTGAGTAACTTGGTTGCGTGGTTTTTTGGCTTTTCATTGGGAGAGCTGGCAGTGCACTGACTGCTCTGGTTTTAGTCAGTTGTTTAGGAGTGGTTGGCGGAGTCTGAGAAGGCCATTTTTGTCCAGAGGATGAAGTGGCGATGCTGGTGAATGTGGAGTTTGTATAGAAAAAAAAGTCACTTTGTTCTTCGGTTTCCAGAAATTACGGTTCATTGTTGAAGTAAAGAATAAACTGTCGCAGATTTTAGTTAAATCATTTTGGCGCAAGACAGGTTTTCTGGTAGAAGAGTTTCGCCAGTGGTTATGCGTCTGAAGGAAGTGGTAGGTTACATTAATTCACTGGCATCACTGGAGTTAAAGGAAAAGAACTGAGAGCAGTTTGGTACATCCGGTTGACAGTTCACAGCATGAATTAAGCTCTACAGATTTTTGCCGTCTATATGGTGTTGTTAGACTTTTCTGTACAGGTTTGTTGGAGTATTTGGTTGAGCTGTCAAATGCTGTTGGTCAGCAATGATACTATGTTTGTGCATATGTATGTAGACTGTTTGTTTCTATTACAGTCGACCGAACGCGATAAGATCAGACTATATGATCTTTTTTGGTCAGCCAAGTTATTAACGAACATCTGTTCTTTCATGTTGTTAAAACATTTAATTTCTCATTTCTATTTATCTGATCGCCATAAAGCTGCAACAATTTTTTTGCACTCGACGATGACATATTGATTTTAAAAAATCTTTGTGATCATTTTTTAGCAGCATTTAGACTTGATTAAAACTGTTGCAGTAACAGCATTGGATTTGCTTTATAATTTCTAGTGGAAAAGCTTGTATAACAAGTGCAGTGAAAATCTAAGCTTTATTACTGCGGATGGAACATGTTTGAAAGACCAAGAACGAGGAATTGAAATAATCTTTGGAAAAATGATTTGAAACTGGTGACTGTGTACTTCAAACTTCTGGCATTTGGTTTAATGTTGTACTTCTCCTTGTTTAAATGTTTCTTCCCAAAAATTCTACTTTCCTAAATGTTTAATTTTTTAGGATTTCCTAATACACTGCGATCACAGTTTTTATCAGTTCAAAAGAAAAGGGTAATTTGAAAATTTGGGAAACACTTTTGTTTACCGTTTTTTTCATTTTTTAGTCCACACTGTTTACTCCTGTTGTCCCGAATTTCCAAAATATCTTTC